TTTTTTTGATAAACCCCGACTTTGTGGTTCATTGGCAATTTTATGACTCTAATACATCATTTGTTCTTATCAGCAACATGCTTAGCATTGTTGGATTAGATGTTCGGTGCAACTTTGGAATGTTTTCATTAACTCTGATAAAAGAAAATTAACTTCGGAAGAGACGCTCGGCCGTCGGGGACCATCGTGGGATCATGCAAAAAGCTGAAAAACGCGGCTTGGCAGCTTCGGGAGACGGTCAAGAGGCGCGATTTCTCCGGCTGTCACCAGCTTAAAACTTCAGTTTATTGCTACGCGAGTACTCAAAAAATATCAAATGAAGTGCATTAGCTTGCTATCTTTCTATGATTACCACTTGCTGATTTTGGGGCTTTTGCTGGAAAATAGACCGAATTATTCACAAACTTGTTCTCGACTGCATTTTCATGGGTATTTGACCTTCAAAATTGCTGTTTTGAACTGATTCCAGAGTAGCAAGATTGAGAAATGAGAAACCCATGCAGTTATCTAATATATCTCCTTCTAAAACTTGTATACTTTTAGAAAGTTGTTTATGCGTTATTTGATGTCCATCTGGCAATAAAATCGCGCCAGCTTCTTCCCCTCTTCAACATTCATGATGTAGGAGGGTGGGATTACTTATCGACGGATAGACAGCGTGGAATCCACTTATTTAGAGCTCCAAGATCTGAAGCTTTCTTTTAAGCTGCCATCCTCTCCCTGGCGGGGATGTTAACACGTTGACGACAGTGCAATGGTGCAATGGTGCGCGGCGGCCTTATTCTCAATACTATCTGTCCAATCCTCTCGGTTTTTGTTCATATAAGCAACATAGGCCCAGATACACTTCGTAATTAGCCCCGCCCCTTTTGGCAAACTCCACCCACTTCCGTGCCTCTCACAAGGGCCCTTTTTGTTCGTAAAAAGCATGTATGAGGCCGTAAATGAACGCAAAGACCTTCGGCAACCTTTGGCCAGGCCCCATCGCGCAAGTACGAGGTTATTACGTTCGACCTAAAGCAAGAAAAACGACCGGAAAGTGAGGAAACATACGCCTTGAGGCGCGGCTTGCTTTGGTCAGATTTGATGCCCTTGCCACAGCTTGGAAAAGCTACGCTCCTGTGCATTGCCCACCTTCAGGCAAACTCCGCCCCTTAAGTGACGAGCTCCGCCCATTTTTCTAAAGTGGCGGAATTCCCATGAATTCTTGTTATTCGGGCAATTTCCGACATTTTTGGCCGAGTGGGCGGAGCTTGCCACATGGGGGCAGGGCTTGCACATTTTATATTTGTGCATGGATGTATGCATACACACATGCGGCCAGGCGTAGGGATGCACGGAAACGTCTCGTCCACATGGACAGACCTCAAAAAAATGGCTCGTCGTCAACGTGTTAATGCATGCGGCCCTAGGTGCGAAGTTCCGATCGTATAAAAAGTCCCCCCCCCCTCCCCCCTCCGCAAATTTGCTAACTTTAGGGTAAGGAGCTTGATAGAAGCGGCAGTGCACAGAAATCTTACGAACGTCAGACAAAGTATCTATCGGAAAAGCTTGTTTCATCTTATAGCCTTAGCAGACGCTACTGGAGCATTTGAATCGCAGAAAAACAGAATTCTTTGGCGCAGAAATCGCAGAATTCACATTGACTCCAAAAGCATCTTGAACCACTTGAGGAAATTAACGCTACTCTTTTTCAAGTACAATATGTAGCAGACGTTTCTATTCTTGTTACTGTAATAGGAAATTCGAAAGGCTACATTTTTCAATGAAGAAAGGGAGCTTCGTATAAGGTGCTCGTAAATTTGAATTCGGCGCGAAATCATTCCTACATAAAACTAACACTGATTTACATTTTTGTCCGCGTACACCGTTTTCGCTGTTTTTTTTTTCACGTAGTGCTAGCTGTTTTTTGAATTTAAAAGTTTGAAAACTTCAGAATTATGAAGTTTCAAATAACTATGAACCCACTTTGTAGGGTGGCGGATTTTATGAACGATAGCGCGCTTAGGCAGGCACGTGCCAATAAGCTGTTCACCGTTAGCTCCGCCTATCGCTAGATGGACGAGTTCTGCACTACAGCTTTAGCACTGATTTACGACAATGTTTTTTAGTTTAATAAAGCAGCTCCTGATAAGAAGGTGTAAACTTGTTTTTAGGCTAGGGATAAGCTTGGCTTTTGCAGAATCTCGGAGTTCTGCTGATTCACCTATAATGACCGAATGTCTCCTGGATATCCAACTTTGGAGTGTGAAATTAATCCAGAATTTCTCAAGCACGACTGTCTGAGTGACCTCAATCTTTCGACAAGTTCACATGCGATCTCGGTTGAATTACGGGTCAATTTGTATTGAGGGTAGAAGTTACTGGAAGCAAAACAGAAGCATGTTTTCTTGTATATGAGAGTGAAGTGTGATTTTCCTGATTTCAATCACATGAAATCATATGAATTGAAGTCATATGACCGCATATTTGCAGAACGAGTGATATCTGATTGTGCGAAACATTATCAAATGTACAGGGTTGGCCATAATTATAGCGACAAGATTTACTGCAATTAGCGTACTATTCTATCGCGCACATAGCGCGCCAGTTTTATCGATTTTTCAATCTCATCATTTTTTCTAACTCCTGCTAAAATTTGGTTAAATTTGGTCCATTTATAGTGAAATGGTGAAGCCTTCTCCTGATCGTTCCGCTATCCTTCGTCTGCACGAAGCCGGCCGCCCACCCGCCACGATCGCTATGTAAGCACCTCGGCATCCACCGCAGCGTCGTGTATCGCACACTCCAACGTTATCGAGACCTTGGCGGACTCCAAGACCACCGAAGAAGTGGAAGACCTCGTACTGCTCGCACGCCGAAGGTCGTCGAGGGACCGTCCGAAGGTCGTCCCGGCCGTCATTCGTCGACCCCGGCGTCAAAATCGACCAAGATTACACCTGAAGACGATTTTAGAAGATGCTCTACTCCCGTGGGCAAATTCCCACTTTACACGCCGCCCGTGGACATTCCAGCAAAATTCGGCGCCCGCCCACAAGGCCAAGGTCGTCCAAGCGTGGTGCAAGAGCGAACTCCCCAACTTCATCCCGGCAGAAGAATGGCCGGCATCGTCACCGGATTTGAACCCACTGGACTACATCTTGTGGTCCTACCTTGGGAGCAAGGCCTGCGCCACTCCCCACCCCAATTTGGATTCTCTGAAGGCAGCGCTCATCCGAGAATGGGACGAAATCGACGAGGCACTCCTGCGTCCGGTCATCGACGCCTTTCCCAGGCGACTTTGCCCTGTCGTCCGTGCCAAAGGTGCCCGAATCGAGAAGTAACTTATGATTGTTAATTGTACCAGTTGTTATTTAATAAATGTTATGTTTATGACTCGTTTGCACTTTTCCTTTCTGAGATACAAGGTGAAAACCTTGTCGCTATATTTATGGCCAACCCTGTAATGGTGTACAGCAGTTACTGAAAATTTGCAAAATTGGCCTCTAGTGTTTGCTTTAACTCTCGCTTTAATGAAATTTGTTTTTAGCTATGATTAGGGCTTAAAAACATACTCTTTTTTTTTACAAAAAAAAATAATCGTGTAAACTTTCAGCACGACAAGTTGATTTCTTTTCGAAATCAACTTGTCGTGCTGAAAGTTTTTGTCGTAGTCTACCGTAATGAAGAGCGATGGATTACTCGCTTCATACAGTTAATCTGAAGCGTGCGGTAATGAATGATACTTAAAGCCAAGCAAAAGACTCTGTGGGAAGATTCTTAGCGATCAAAAAGTGTGCACTTATTTTTGAGACTCCCCGTATGGTGCGTTAATGGACAGAAGGACTAGCAGGAGCTAAGTGCTAAAGAATATGAAGAATTATGTGACTGGAAACCGCGACATGCTCTTTTGTGCTGAAGATCTTTCGCACTGACTAGTGCTAATAAATTTTTTTCAACACATTACATGGAAATTGTTGTGTCGATATTGCATAAAAACTTGCATGAATAAAAGGTGTGTTGACAGTTTTTAGTTTATGGTGGCAGTTTCCAGTCCAAAAAGAGCCCAAAATTGGCTCTTCCACTTCAAGTAGGTTTTTCATAACTAATACATGGTTATGTACGACACCTAGTAAAGACTTTATCCGAAACTTTTTTCTTTCTCTTATCGTCATAGGACGCAAAATATCGAAATCAAATCTCTAAAAAACTAGCAATAGCACAAAAGCTGTGCGAGTTGAGCTCCGCGTGCTACTCATACTCTTTCCTGAGATACAATTTGAGCTATGACCAACTTCAGTATACAGGGAGAATTGCATTTTTATTTGAGAGTGTCAGTATCGCTATCATTTTGTGTGAATCTCATCTGCCCCAAGAAATTAGAATCAAAAAAGTATTTTTTCGTTTTTCCCTTCATTTAAAGGCAGCGTCCAAGCAGATCTGGACCTATGGGGCTTTTACGTGGAAAGTACTTTTGGGGCCCTAACTAAGGCACTGCCCAAGCGGCAGCCCAGGTAGTGCTCTAATGGCTGAGGTATTCCCCTCGAAACTGGCCCCCGCGAACGTATTCGCATGGATTCATGGCAGTTTCGCGCCAGGATCCACGCTTTGCGCCATGAATGCATGCGAAACACGGTCGCGGGGTCCAGTTTCGAGGGGAATATCTCAGCCGTTACAGCACTACATGAGCTGCCGCTTGGCAATGCCTTAGTTAGGGCCCCAAAAGTACTTTCCACGTAAAAGCCCCATAGGTCCAGATCTGCCTGGACGCTGCCTTTAAGAAGTGCAGAAAAAAACAGAGAAGCTGCCCATCTTTTGATTTTAGTGCCCGAAAGTACTGAGTCCTCGCCGAGGAAGGGGGTGGGAAAAGACTGGTTAGGGTGGAGGACTTCCCAAATTGGAAGAACTCCACATTTTTTCTCGACAATCGCCCAGTAACATTTTTGAAGCATCTATTCACTCCAAAAATCATTTTTTGGAGTGAATGGATCAGCTTGCGTTCTATCATCGGACACACTTACGGTTGATCAGTGATACATAGCATTGTGAATTGATTCGGAGTAATTGTGCAGTATTCTACGGCGCAGGCTATTTTAGTGACATCTGCTCGCACCCACTGAAATATTCACTTATACTTCGAAAAAGCGACCAAAGTAATTCACTCACTTCGGCATATTTGCGTACGTCGTCAAACGTGTCATTTTTGAGTGCAACACGTCCATATTCAATAGTGAAGGCTGCTTTGTCGATGTTGTCAATTACTTGCAAAACAGGCTCCACAAGGTCGTGCCACGAGATCGCGTTTTCCCAAGGATTATCATAATTATCACTAACGTTGAAATAAGCCCTAAATGGTACTGATTTTAGGATGACGCTTTTCGAAGCTTGTTGTTTGGAGCGTTTGCTATGGTTTTGGTAGATTGCTGTAGTATTCTGTGTTCATGTACATGCTGTCACACTCTCTTCACTTTTCTTATTGTTGAAGCATTTACAGGCCTATGGCGTACAATGACCGTCGATGACGACTGCAAGACAGTTTTTTGTTTCTCTCATAATAAATATCGGTCTGTAAGACACGCAGTTTTTGAGTCTCTCAGCGGCTCACAGGGCTCTTATTTTTGAAATCAATCTGCTGACTGTCCATGGAGATAACTTCAATCCAACAGTCTTTAGAGCGGCACTTATTTGAAATATTGGTATGTAGGCACTCGTAGGGCAACTCTTTCTCAAAATGTGAGTCTCTATCTCTTTAAGAGCAGTTTTTTCTCAAAATTCTCTGTATGCGGGGAAAAGAAATAGTGAGGCAGTTTTTGTTTAAAAATCTTCAATCGGTTTAAAAAGCAGTTCCTTTTTATAATTATCGCGTTATAGGTGGCCTGTAGGGCGATTTTTTCTCAAACAGTAGGGATGTTACTCATGGGGCACTTCTTTTCCATGAACGGATTGTAGGAACTTGATGAGTATTTCTCGAAATACTGGTTTGTAAGCGACCCATAAGGCACAACGTTCATATGAATCTGTGAGCAGCGCTTAGGGCCTCGGACATAGTTCACGCGATTTCATCGTCGCGATTCAACCGCTACAGACAAGTGTTACGAGTTCATTGCATGCCAATCTTCTTGCATTTCGGTTGTGATAGTTTTCCAACACGACTAGTTATGACTAGCTATCACATCCGAGATACAAGAAGATCGACATGCAATGAATTCGTAACACTTGTCTGTGGCGATTGAATCGCGACGATCAAATCGCGTGAACTCTGTCCGAGGCCTAGGGCAGCTTCTTCTTAAAATATCGTTTATATGGGGCGTAATATATGTTTCTGTGGGTTTAAATTTTTTCCCAGTTATTGGTTTAGAACTTGTAGAGTGATCCTTTTTGAAATCATAGGTTTTGAAGCGGCTTTTACGGCATTTTCTATCAGAATATTGGTTTGAGGGTTTGTAGAGCAGTCCTTCTTTACGTTCTGTAAGCGTCCCATACGGCAATCATTTCATTATGTAGGAAACTCGTAGTATAGTCTATCGGTTTCTGAGAAGCCCATAAAGCATTTCTTTATTTCTTTGACATGGTCCTTTTGTAGGCGGCATATAAGGCAGTTTCATCCCATATGTGTCGATTAGAAGCTCGAAAACTTTTTCAAAATTCTTTGTAAGCGACCCATAGGTTTTTCATTCAGTACATTGGTTTGTAGTAATTCTAGGATAATTATTTGTAAAAGCTTTGAGTTGCCCATTTTCTATACATCTTCTTCAGTAATGTCTGTAATCGGCTGTTAGGGCAGTGTTTCTGATTATGAAAAGATCGTAGGGCAAGTTGATGCTTTATGTATCATCAACCTCAACAATTCTAGAATATATTCCTAAGGCCAAAGGCATACCTCACGCGATTCGACCGAAGCGCCACTTTCACGCGACTTGGCGACTTGCCACATTTCTACAAATTGATCGTGCGCGCTTCTCGGACGCATATTTGGGTAGCTTGCATAAGTTGTTGCAAACAGAGCAAGATCTGACCAAAGACAGCCCATTATAATGACGAATTAGGAAGAGCCGCTGTTGTGCCGAATCGCGCAGCGACCGGAATCGCGCGAGGCATGCCTTAGGCCTAATAGCTTACGGTTATTCCCCATAAGCTATATTCCCCCAACCGCTTATATTTGAGTGCCGAATCACTTAACAGTGAGTGGCACCTATCCTCCAGGGGCCGCGCCAAGCCGCGGCATCCTCCGTTGTATATTTTCCTTATGCAGCTTGATTGTGCACGGGTCGCTCCGTCTTACTACCTATATAAGGGGCCCCCGGCTGTATTATAGGTTGCTCTCCCAGGTTCAACACCGGGTTCGTCTCATAAACTATCCAACGACTCCACTATCGTCAACGAGACATTGGTTACCACCAAATTAGTGCATCGACCAGTGAAACCACCTCGTATTCCATCTGCAACCGGAGGAATCGAGGCCACAAGACCCGCGTGGCAAGAAGAAGAACCAACCGACTATCTGAAAATCTTTGTGTATCCTTTCGTAAGTGATCCAAAGAGGTGTAGGAGAAATCGGAAGGAATACCACTGACTATTTGAAAATCTCTGTGCATCCTTTTCGTAAGTGAGAGAGGTGTAGGAGAAATCAGTCGGTCGTGTGATCTTGAAAACTCTCTGTGCATCCTTTTCGTAAGCGAACCAGAGAGTGGGAAAGAATTAGTGTTACCACACAATCACAGACAACTTGGAAACTTTCTGTGCATCTTTTTCGTAAGCGAACCAGAAAGAAGAGTAGTCAAGTGGAGCACACAATCACACTAATACGTGAAACTTTCTGTGTATCCTTTCCGTAAGCGATCCAGAGAGTGAAACAAATTTTGTGAGTGCAGCATATAACCACATAAGACCGTGAAAAACTTTCTGTGAATTCTTTTCGTAAGTGATCCAAAGAGCGGAACAAATTTTTGTGGGTGCAATTTTCCAGTCAATTTCACTGATTTTTTGCGAATCCTATCCAAGGACCGGAGATCAGTAGATTGAGATTTGAAAAAAAGGTAACTTGAGTCACAAGCGCTCGTTTTGCCAAAAAGTCAAAGTTCGACCAAGAACTCTTGATTTAAGAGTATTGAAACCCAATCCTTTTCTGGTCAAGGTCCAAGCTATAACCAGTCAGCACAGCGTTCAAGCCAGCCAGGCACGCTTGCAAATCAGAGATCAGCACCACAGTTCTTTATCTCTACTCGAAGGATTACCAGAAGATAAGCCTACAAGTTTGCGAAATCACGCTAACTTGTGCATTTGAAGACACGACATAGTAACCAGCTTTCTGTGGGACACGAAAAAGTTAGAAGTCGATATAAATAAGCAAAATGGCCGCATTTCAACTCTTTAAAGTTAAAATAAATAACGCCTGCAAGCTCGTAAAATCCTACGAGTCCGCAGTGGAGAACATAGACGTCCCCTTCATATTTCCAACAACAAAAGGGGAGTGTGAAGATTACAGGTGGCCGATAAGTATGGGCGTTACAACATGTAATATATCTTTTTTCTGAAATAATCTATCATGGCGGCTGATATGCATGTAGCTTACGGACAGTCTCATTATCTAGGTAAGTGAAAATCGGGCGAACTGAAGTCTTCTGATGCAATGGCACTCCTAAATCTACTTTCTCCTGAGAGACGCTGCGGCGCGTTCAGTCAACACCATATTTATAGTACCGTGCCTTATTTTGGAGAGGAGATTTTTTTGCTGTTACAGCACAGTGTCGTTCCTCGGACTGTGCTCTACAAAACCTCAGGTCCTAGAATCTATTCGATTAATAATCGGGTTATTTTAACGAATTTACAATAGGTACATTCTTCAGGTAGCATTTTTGACGCATCAAGTTCAAGGTAAGCTGCTGGAGTCTGTATGCATGCACAGGAATCCAGTCTTGAAGGAGTAACACATTAAGATGCCTGTATTTTTGGCATGCAAAAGTAGTCTTACAGAATTTTGTCTGCTATGAAAAATCATTGAACGAAAAATGTGACGCCCATACTTTTCGGCCACCCTGTATATCAAAGAAAAGGCAGGAGTAATCACAAATCTCCTCAATACTCTGAAAAACGCTGTGAAATTGCAAGAACAGCAAGACACTCCCATTGAGTATATCGCATGCAGTGAAGAAAAGGAACGAGAGAAGCTGATGGTTGAACTTAGCAAGTATTTAGAGCTGGAAGCACTCGATTTGGAAGTGATGGCAGTTCAATGCCAAAACCGAATACAGTTCAGACAACATGAATTGAGGGAGCAAACGACACTTTTGCATACGCCTGCTCTTAGTATTCCGAGTCAGCCAGTCAGCGAGATAGGAAGAGGCTCAACAACGGAACGAAGTGAACGCCAGATCAATATCCGCAAACCGCTCCTAGAGGTTCCTACATTCTCTGGCAACTTCGAAGAGTTCAACAGTTTTTGGACAGTGTTCGAATCAATTATTCACTGCGACGAAAACTTATCGGATGTTGACAAATTCCTTCTTCTAAAGCAAGCGCTCAAAGGAAAAGCAGCTGCCGCTTTGAACTGCATCCCTGTTGTCGGATACAAGTACCAGACAGCCGTCAACATTCTAAAGAAGCACTTCGATCGCTCTGCCAACATGGCAGACATACTCATCAACGAAATCGAGCGACTTAAAGGAGCAAAAGACAATCCCGAAAGTTGCCGAGAAACGTTCGAAGCAATCAATTTGTGGATCATCCACCTGGAACAAACTGGAATGAAGATGAGCGCAGACAGAATTTGGAGCAAAATGATTCTGTCCAAATTTCCTAAAGAAATCTGCGCAACCGTCATACGGAAGGAAGCTGCATGCGGAGATCAATTCAATGTTTCTAGGATCCTAAACACGATCGACGACATGATCACTCTGCGGGAAACGACTGCGTTAACAATGAAGACACTCCTTCCAAGTACCTTTCAGACAAGCAACCTTCAGGACACAAGTCTTGACAGTCCGAAATGGGAAGAGGAAAAAGAATATCCCGCGCAGTCTCAATTTCCAGCGCACCAATCATCATTTGCAAGTCTCTAAGATACTGCAAAGAACCAGCTTCGATCATCGCAAAGCAAGTGAGTACACGTTGCACAAACGCTGCGAAATGGACAAGAAGTCTACAGCTCAAGCAAACTGTCAATCGTGTGCCAAAGCGTACCTCAAACGGCTTCAGCATGATATTTAACGAGGCAGATTGGGATTATCAACCCATAACAATACTGATTGACTCTGGCGCCCAGCGAAGCTTCATCAAATCAAAACAGTGAAGAGCTTAAGCTGCCAGTCATCCAGAAGACGTCATTCACCACATAAGGAATGGGAGGAT